GAAGGCGGCGCGGATTGGCTGCCCCCCCTCCCTTAGAAGAACACGCCTCCTCCAATCAGCGACGGCCAGGCGAAACCCGCCCGGACTCGCCCTTGACTTGGTTGGAGGAGTGTGGGGGAGCAGGGCGAGCTTTCGGGAAGATTGCCTCCTGCGGCCAGCTGTGCCCCTGTCCTGGGTTCGCACCGTGCCACCGCTGTTGCTCAAGCATGCTGATAACAGAAAGCTTGCGCTCTGATTGGCCGCCAGATTTCCTAGGGTCAGCCAGTTTGACAAACAAATCGCTCTAAAGTATGCTTGGTGCTGCAGCGAATGCTGTAAACAGTGACCTCAGGTGACTCAGTCTCAAATACTAAGGTAGCATCTCTATCCACAGAAGAAGGATGAGGTAGGTGCCTACCACCTCTCCCAGAAGGTTGCTTTGTAGAGTTTCTGGTAGCAAAAGAAAGAAGGGGTGAAGGGGAAGGGGAGCGAGGGCAAGAAGAGAGAAGAAAACTGCCATTGCTTGGAGTCTATTCTGAATCAAAACCATCCCAGAGGGCAGTGGCATAGCTCCTTAGGGTTTCGCAGAATGTGAAACCCCAGGGATCCAGCGGTTAGCAGCCAGATGCGTCCCAAGGGCTTTGTAGACATCTAAAACCAACCAAGCAAACCCACTGCAGCCAATATGATTCCAACTCACAGTGACCCTATAAGGCACAGGGTTCCAAGGCTGGAATCTTTAAGGAAGCGTCTTTCTCCCGCAGACTGGAGGGTGGATTTAAAGAACAGCCAACCCTTGCTGGTTAGCAGCCCAACGCTTAACCCCTCACACTACCAAGGCTGCTCCTATTTCCCGTGCCCTCAGCAAAGCAGATCTAACACAGGAACAGATAAACAAGAATTCGCTTGTGGGAATTTCCATTATTAGTGATATAAAAAGAAAGTTAATCAAGTGGGGAAAGAGTGACAGTCTTATTACCAGTACTAAACTCAACCTGAATGCTGGGTTTGAGCTCTTAAATATGGAGTTAGAGAATACTGTTTTCTTAATCTTCTGTTAGTGGTGTCTTTTGATCTCCTCTAGGCCAGATCCTCTCTTGTTTTTCTCTCTCCTTTGTATTAGATGTCCATATTCAATCATTTTTTTATCTAAAGCGGGCAGTTTCATATGCCAATCATAATGGACAAATCTGTGTATTTCTGGACTTCTAATTTAACTGTGTCTACACACTAGCAATTATGTACCCTATACTTTCCTTCCAAAGTGTGATCCAAATATAGTGAGTCTTCTTTGTTTGTTTTATGATCCATTCTAGCGTTTTCTGTGAAGGTGAACGGTGATTTGCTAATTACATGTGCATTTTATTCTAATACCTTTGTCAAGCTTTTTGTTAGGTTTTCATCATACACATTCGCATTCACCTCTTCAATAAGTAACCATCATTTGTTAGTTTTCTCTTACTACATTTCTAAAATTTTTTTCATGCTACAATAATCAATTCTATTTTCTAAGGGCTCATACTGTAAACATGAAGTAAGGCATGTGCTTTTATCTTGGGGGCCCAAATGAACATATTTAGGAAGAGGAAAACAAACTGTGGTCCATGTTCAAGGATAATAACTAAAGGCACGTGTCAATGTCATCGTAGTTTTTCGTTTCTATGGCACAGAGCTCAGGCATCACAGGTCTTTCGGGTCCTTCTACGTGTCCCACCGAGCGTCTGCACTCTTCTTGAGTTGAGCCAGCTCACCAGCCATCAGTGTCTGGGTGATAACTCTGGTGAAGCCCTGAGCGTTCTGAATACCTGGGAGGCTCGGGGAGACTTCCTTCTCGATGCCACTTACCCCTTCACCACCGTGGACACGGAATGAATCCTGGAGAGATTTTTGAGCATTGGTTCGATAAAATCAGCTACACTTAATCCAATAGCTCAGTTGGGGTATCCCTTTGGCTTGGTGACTTAGCAAGCACTTTCGACCACGATTTTATGCACTTCCTTCCAGTTTTGTCTGTCCCCCTCTCAGGATTCAGTTCCTGGAGAGACACCCTGGCCACACTCACACCACTCCACGTGGCCACTCCCGAGTTGCCAAGTTCTCCCAAAATCCATCCAAAGGGATGAATACCAAGTTTTTCAGACACAAGATATTAAAATCTAGCAGAATCCAGGCAACAGCCTCTTCCAATCACATGGTGCTTGGGCGATCCATTCAGTGTCCAGGTAATGTATGTAAGGCTATCCACTGGGTGGAAACCACAATGAGGACGCAGTCAGGACTGTACTTGGCAATCTGGGGAATAGTGAATTTGAAGACATTAACATGCCTGTGCATCAGACTGAGATGATCCCCCCACCCCCGCTGACAAACTCCTGCAGTTACCACCACAGTCTGAGAACTGGCCACCACAGTCATCTCTAGCTGCTACGATTCTAGGTGTCTGAAAAATAAGCTCCCATGCTGCAGATCCATCATTTGTCCTTTGAGTTTATCTCCCAAAGCATCTACAAAAACAAGTTTATCATCTAGAGACTTTCCCAGAATGCTCATGGCACATGCCATACCAACTTGTCCAATACCAACTATCAACTACAGTGATTTGATTGTTTGGAACCATTGCCTCTTCTTCTGCCATGGATGCAGCCAGCTTTTCCTTAGGGTAGCCATCCTGAACACGCAGCGACATGGAGGTTCAGAGTCAGCTGCATGAAGAAAGAGAAAATTTAAACAAGTTTTCAGCTATGATCTTCAACATGCCTGCTTGTCTTGTCCTCTACAATAGTAGCCATTGAAAGGAAATAGAAGAAAGAAGTAGGAGGCAAAAGCTATTTATAGAGGTATAGCTATAGACATGTATATATGTAAATATATTAATTTATAATGAAAGGTATAGAGGCCAATGTATATATATTTATATGTTAAATTATTAAGATAGCAGACAGCAGATAGACTTTGGGCCTCTACTCAAGGCCTCCCTAAATACAAGAACACTTTGTTCTAATAACCTGGCACTTTTTCTTACTCACCTTCTCGACACGTTCCATCACTGAAGACAAAATGGGCGCATAAGCAAATGTGGTGAAGAAAGTGGATGATGACCAGTGATCAAAAGATATAGGGTCTGGGGTCTTAAAGGCTTGAAGTTAAGCAAACAGCCATCCAGCAGGGAAGCAAATAAGACCACATGGAAGAAGCACACCAGCCTGTGTGATCATGAGGTGTTGACGGGATCAGGTATCAGGTATCAAAAGATCCAAAACAAACAATTATATCGACGTGAAAGAGCGGGTTGGAGTGGAGACCCAAAGGCCATCTGTAGACAATGGGATATCCCCCCCACAGAAGGGTTGCAAGAAAGGGGTGATTCAACCAGGTTGCAGTAAGGAACCAATGAAACACACATCATTCCTCTAGTTCCTGAATGCTTCCTCACCCTCTCCCACCACTACCATGATCCAGTTTTACCTTACCAACACAGCTAGACCAGAGTACACACATTGGTACAGGAAAGAGCTTTAGGCACATGCAATTCAGAACAGATAAAACCCTCAGGAACAGTGGTGGGAGTAGCAATATCATGAGGGTAGGGGGCTGGGAGTGGGGAGGAAGGGGGAACTCATCACAAGGTTGGATATATAGCCCACCCCCTAGGGAGATGAATAACAGAAATGTGAGTGAAGGGAGACAATGGGCGGTGTAAGGCACGGAATAACAACAGTGGCATATAATTGATCAAGGATTCATGAGGGTGGAAGGGTGGAGGATGGAGGGGAAAAAGAGGAGCTGATACCAAGGGCTCAAGTAAAAAGAACATGTTTTGGAAATGTTGATGGCAGCATATGAGTGATGGGTTGTCAGCTTTGGAAGAGCCCCCCCCTCAATAAAATGATATTAAAAATAAAATGGTAGCCATTGACACCTTTCATTAATAGCACCTTAAATCCCCCAATGCTTTTAAAAGAAATGGATCCTACCTGGAAGTGCTGACTACTAGTCTATGTTAAGACATATGGAAGACATGTCAACTACCTGGAAGAGAACTATATTTATACCCATTCCAAAACCAAATGATCAAATGGGGTGTGGAAACTGACAATCTCATTGATAGTGCTTGCTAGCAACATTTGGCTAAAGCTAATTTAAAAGTGATTGCAGCCACACATCAACTGGGAGCATCGAGCTAGATTCAGAAGGGGATGTGAGATCAAGGGCCATCCTTGCTGGTGGCAGCTGCATCTTGGCTGAATACAGAGAAACGAAAAAGAGGTTTTCTTGTGTTTCATTCTTAATGATGATATTTCAGTGGGTAGAACGTAATAAATGATGGCTAATATTATGGAGAATGGGAATTCCAGAACACTTGACGGTGTTCCTGTGGGTCAGTTGGACAGTGTCCTGTAGGCTCACTGGGAGTGGGCACTGACTTGAAGATGCTGGGTTTGGTTTGGGAACCTAAACCTGGACCAAGAAGCAGTCGTTTGAACAGAACCAGTAGATACTGAGTGGTTTAAAACTGGAAAACTGGAAAAGATTTGTGGCAGCATCGAATATTTTACCTTACTTATTAAATCTGTATGCTGATAAATAATCTGAGAAACTAGGCTACATGAAGATCAGAGTGTCAGGATTAAAG